CCATGGTACAGTACTAGCAGTTGCCAGTTTCTAAATGATACATAAAAAAAAATGCATCAGTATATTTCATAGCCCTATAATTATGTTTGCTTAATACAGTGATCYATTCTGTGAGACACTACRTACCCACCAAAATTTAAMTGTATCCTCAAGCCTCAYTCAAGMCAATRTTCAGRGAAAGTACASAAGAAAAAGGAATTCCTTATTTGATTGGTGCAAAGCTTACAGATCATATTAGTGCTAGTTGTCAATTACTGTATTTCTTGAAGAACCAAGCTGCACCTTTTCTGGAAATAAAGCAAGMCACAAAGTCTTTGATAAAAAGTGGTTTTTATATCTGTGGGATTTCAAGACACGCTGAACATTGGAAACACCTGAAAACTCAAGACAGTCATTGAGCTCCCTCTTGACTTTGAAAGAAAAATGTCTGATTGCTGAAGTCATTCTGTCTTTAAGTGTCATAGAAATGCACCTGTACTTAAGTTACAGCACCCTCAGTTGAGACTCTTATTCCAGCTTTTCTCATGGTATGATTGAATGCAAACCTGTCCTTGCAAGTCAAGGTTATGGGTTACTCTCTGGTGTGACACCCCCAGGAAGGGCCAAGGACAGAACAGCCATTCCAGCAGCTTTCTGGAATTACTGTGACTTGGTGTAAACTGTTGCAAGCCAATTCATAAACCACAGCTATTCCCAGGTAGCTTTTTCTTCCTCAGGTCCTCAGCTGTTTCCCTTGGTGTCTCTCTGTGAGTCCAGCAGTAGATAGAAAGAGTCAAATTGTTAGCATTTATGTGTGCCTACATAAACCTKAGTAGACACATTTGCACGTTTTGATGCAGCAGGAAAGCCTCTGCAATCCAGAAGTACTACTGAAGGCTCTCTTTTTTCAGCCCACTCTGCTCTGACCCTATTYTGGCACTATTATCCTTCCTTCCCAGCTGGGCTTGAGTGGCCTTGTTAGGCAGCTATTAAGCTCCACAGCCAGAGGTTTCAATTTAGGAGGGAGTAAAGCTTCTCATTTTATTACCCCAGGAGAATTGAGCATCCTGCCAGTGCAGTACTCCAATTTATCGCCAGGAGCAGATGAGGTGGATTGAGAATTAGACCCACTTAACAACTGGTTTGCACAGTACTCTCTGTCATTGCTACATGAGGCCACAGGAGGTTTATGGCTTATTCAGAAGGGCAAATGTTTCTGCATCACTGTGAGACACTGAGTACAAATCAAAGCACATGGCTGTTTTGCAGTGAGGACTGGACCTTTTTTCATCCTTTGTTATGTGTTTAAATGATAAAACAATTTCTTTACTGTAACCTTTACTATGTTTATGTGGGAAACATTTGGCTTAGGCCATCTGTTTATGTCTTCGCATAGAGATTCATTGGGTTTTTACTGGACGTGAAAAGCAGAGAATTGAAACACAAGATTTCTAAAATAGCATGAAATAYTCTTTTCTTTTCAGCTCATCCAGACTGTGAGTGCAACTGACAAAGATCAGCCTCCTCGAGGACACAAATTTTTCTTTGAGTTGGTGCCAGAATTTGCTGCTCATCCAAACTTCTCTGTTGTAGACAACAAAGGTAACTGCTGACATCACCACCCTTCTCCCCAATATCACATGAAACTTAATTCAGTAACATTTATTGATTCTGCATTTCCATTCTAGATAACACAGCAGGAATTATGACTAGGAGAAATGGATACAGCCGTAGCAAGACAAGTACATATCTTYTGCCAATCATAATATTTGACAATGACTACCCAGTCCAGAGCAGCACAGGCACRCTGACCATCCGCGTGTGCGCCTGTGACAGCCGGGGGAACATGCAGTCCTGCAGCGCCGAGGCTCTGCTCCTCCCTGCYGGCCTCAGCACGGGGGCTCTGGTTGCCATCCTCCTCTGCATCATTATCCTGCTGGGTAGGTACCTGGGATGAGGTGTTTATTTGGYTGGATAAAGATCTAGTCACTTTGAGAGCCCCGATATTCTTAAAACCCTGCATAAAACTTTAAAACCCTTAAAATTGTTATTCTTAAAACCCTGTAGAAAAACACCACTCTTGCTGTTTAGCAGATTATGTGAAAAGGATGAGACTGTGTTATTCAGATTAAATGCATTTGAAAGTATAGGGTCAGTTTAAGTCACCATGCTCATTTCAGCAGTGCTCATACCATAATCAGATCTTCTTTAGGTCCAGAACTTCAAAATCATATTTCTGAAGCCAAGCAATAACTTTTGAAATTATTAAAAGTTATGAATTATATTAGCTATTTCTTGATGAAAGATTTGTAATTTTTTTCCTCTTCAGAAAATGCTTAACCCAAAAGCATAGGATAGAAATATTCAATTTCTTGCATGTGATAGTGAGAACAGCTGATTAAATAAGAGCAAGCACAAAAGCTGGATGTTTGGAGGATAGAGGCATTAGGAAATATGGTGTCATATGAAGAAACTAGAACAAATGCTAGCTCATAATCTGATGTTAAGAACATAAAAATTGCAACTTGCATATTTTGGTTACTAAAGAAGTGTCATCATTTCTACTTTTCAGTAAAACTCTGCAGAAAGCCTCTCCTTTCCTACCTGTCCAAGCAATCACAGCTCGCCTATCTGTCAGTGAGAAGCTACAGGCATCGGTTTATATAAGGGGATCACTTTTTTTTTTTTTTTTCTCAGTTTTTACATTGGATTCAAGATAACCTCCGTGATCCTCTTAATTTTTGCTCCAGGTTTTTAGAAGAAGGGCAATAGATAAGAACTATATCTGCACTGGATTTAAGGAAAGGAGAATACTTGAGCTCTGACAAGGTCTTTGTCCATGCTGCTTAGGTTCAGGCATCGTTGCTGGTCCGGTTTCAGCATTACCCTCCTTGGATTCCTCAGGACGTTGCCCAGGCATATTCTGAGCAGCAGAACTTGCAGGGCACCACTYCCAGGAGAACATTATGGTTCAACCTGTGCCTGACCTAGCTCTTCACCTTGCATGTTCTTAACACHATGACAACAAGCTCTTCATCTCGAAAGCCATTCTTCATACCCCAACACAGAACATGAGAAAATGGAGCGTGAAAACACATGCCCTTACTCACTCACAATGAAAACATTGCTCTGATTGGCTGYAATGTTTTAGTACAGATTGAATAAATCTGTACTAAACTTTGAACTGATCAAAATTCAAAATGGGCCTTAGGGCCACAGCAACAGCCCACGGGTCTCAGAAGACGATCAGGGACCATTGCTGTGCAGAGCAAGTATGACCACTTTGTGTCTCTCAGCCCCAGGGCTAGAGGCCCTGCTCTACCTAGCACTACAGACATATATAAGTCAAAGAAACATAGCTACAAAGCACCTAAACAGAATTTTTAGCCTACAGTTAGTGTGATACTCAGCACCTTACTTAATTTTTCAGTGAAGTATAGTGTGTTATAATAGTACACTGGTGTCAACAGGCCCAACCTATCTGAGGCACATTAAGTATCAGGCTGTGAAAGACACTTCTTCATAATAACCTTTCAGTGATCTTCCCTTGTCTCGTATATGGAATTTTTTCACTTTCTGAAGTGTGTARTTTCTCCTCTAGCATTATGAAAATTTGAAAAGAAAGGCTTCTATACAGACACAAAGAAAACACAAATAAACCAGAACACTGTTTATAGTCACATTATACCATGGCATGTGAAAATCTCTGTTCCCCTCTCTCTACCTGCAGCATGTCCAACCTTATCTTTTATTCACCAGTGCTCAGGTCATTCAGAGTAAAAACTTAGCTCCTAACACTCAACAAAACAATTCAACATTGTTATAATTTATGGCTCAACAACTACTGCTATGTTTCATTGACAGACAGTCTTTCTGGCCTCTCCTATTTACTCCAGCTACTGGAGAGAGAGTCAGATTTTTAAATACACTTCAKCATTGAATTGCTACTGAAATCAATAGCATTTAAACACCAGAATGTATTTACAAATCCTAACTTCATTTTTTGATCTCCCCTTGTAAAGGTTCATTTTTGTATCTATCCTTACCTCTTCAGAAGAAAGAGTTATTCAGCTAACACTTCATAAACTAAGGGGATCATGTTTTTTTGAAAGAAACATTCAATAACAAAGACTGGATTTCAATTCTCACAGTCTTTGAAGCAAAAGCTGTTTTGTCAATAATATTGATAGCTTAAGGTCTTCAGGTTCTTATTTTCAGAAAGTCCTGTAGTTCCCATATTCAGAAGTGAATTAGACATTTGGGAATACCTAAATCACTAGGTTTCAAGAATGTGAACAACTTTTGCCAAGGAGATTCAACTGCATTTGATGAAAGAACATTTAGTGATTGCCAGAAAGGTAGTACTTCATGAAATTAAAATCCAAGTCAAACCTCAGTAAGACAATATTTTATGCTATTGTTTATTTTTTGACTTCAGGTTAGTTGTAAATCTGTTTAAATATATAATATTTTGAYCATTTCTCCCATAGGTTTTAAAAAAGCGTAAGTTTTATACTGCTATAAACTCATTAATACTTTTTCTTATTAAGTTCAGCTTGGAGATAGATTTTATCAGTAAATTTCCAAAAAAAAAAAAAAAAAAAATCTTATTCCAGCCTTAAAACCTTTCCAGGTCAACAGATGAGGTAAAATTTTAGCTCATTTATTTACTTTCTAACTAGCCATTTCTTCAATTATTCTGTATTCCATTTTAGTTTTAGTTGTCTTGTTTACGGCTCTCAAGAGGCAGAGGAAGAAAGAACCCTTGATTATCTCAAAGGATGATGTTCGGGACAATATTGTGACCTATAATGATGAAGGAGGTGGGGAAGAAGACACCCAGGCTTTTGACATTGGCACACTGAGAAATCCAGAAGCAAGGGAGGAAAGCAAGATGAGAAGAGATGTTATCCCAGAAACAATTTTTCAGATAAGGCGGACTGCACCTCTTTGGGAAAACATCGATGTCCAGGATTTTATTCATAGAAGGTTAAAGGAAAATGATTTAGACCCAGCTGCCCCTCCTTACGATTCGCTAGCAACGTATGCCTATGAAGGAAATGATTCCATAGCAAATTCACTCAGCTCCCTGGAATCACTTACCACAGAAGGCAACCAAGACTATGATTACCTCAGTGACTGGGGACCTCGGTTCAAAAAACTAGCAGATATGTACGGTGGAGAGGACAGTGATCGAGACTGAGAAAGTAATCTGTGACCTGGTCAGTGTTAGTGGAATTCATGTCTATGTTCCTAGATAAAGTGGCCTACTCTCTCTTGCTTGAGAAAAAAAAAAAATACAAAAAATAGGTGTTGTCTTAGTAAGGGTTTGCTTAATCAATAAGTCAATGTGAATGAATATGAACAATTGAGATTTAAAAAAAATCTATAGCTCACCCCTCTGCCTAGAAACCTGTAATGAAAGGGTTTTATTGGTAATGAAAAGAAAATAAAAGGCTTTTTGTGCCTTCAATAATGACATGGAAACTCCATATTTTTAAATTGCTTTGCATTACCTTTCCTATATCTTCAACAGTGTGCATCTGCATTGTAACATAATCCCAAAAATATACTTTAAAAAGATTAATATTACTGCCATATTTATTGAGTTAAAGAATGTCTGTGTGTTGACTCATCCTGATATTTTTATATATGTATATTTATATTTTTGTATTTTTATTAAATAAATTAGTATTTATAAAAACACTACTTACTCATGTACTTTGTTAATCACAGAGAAATGTCCAATCCTTCTGAACAAAGGAAGCTGCGTCTTCTGCAAGGCTTCATTCCTGAATGCATCTTCTTATAGCGGATTAGTGGTTCCAATGTACTGTGCAAGAATGATATGGAGGCAGTGCTCTGTAATGGGAATGCTGTATGGAGAAAAAAAAAAAAAAGAAGTATTTTGAGGAGATGATTATAAATAAACACACTCTGACTTGCAATGTGTATTGCTACATGGCATAATAATGCAGTATCATGGTGAAGCTCACTCCCACACACCCTTCTTATGCGAGCAGATGACCACTGAGAGGATTGTACAGATACATGCCTGGGGATCTAAGGAACTATTAAAATTTATTCTGGTAGATGTGAAAACAATTTTTAATGTACCGTTAAAAAAATTGAATAATTAAGCTGACATCAATAATGAAAGGAGGGCTATTGCATATAAATCTTATTTTGTAGTTTTCAATCAATTAGAAAAATAAGACATATCACTAATAGTTTATTTTTAAAAAAGGGAGCCAAGCAATAAAAACAAAGTCTAACTAGTATTTTATTATACATGTTATGTTCTAGACCTTCAAAGAACTGTGTAAATTTCCATATATCCTAAAGCCTTAATGACAATCATCAAGTACATATTTTTGTTTTAAATATATTTGCTGGATAAGCTTTTGTGCAATGCACTTTCTTTTTTCTTTTTTTTTTTTTTTTTTTTTTTCACAACACAGCATAAAAGGAATATAATTTGACCATGTGATCTAAATGAGATGAAGGATTTATCCACATTTGTTTTAAAAAAGAAAAATATAAAACCTCAAATATATGGAAAAGTAAAAACAATGTCAATATTATAGGAAGTACATTGTCCATAGCATTTCCATTTTTAATATCAACTCTAAGGAAAACCAACACATGTCCAACAGATGTCCAAAATWATAATGTTTCAAGTTTTTCTCTGTATTACTTAGCAATTTTTCAGGTGTTTTCAGAAAAAAAAGATACACAGGGTTGAAAATGTAATGTGGACTACTGCAGCACTCATCTCTTACCTTTAAAAAAAACAATAAAGAGGCTGCAGCCAAAGACCTGCTGATTTCCTCTCTACTATGTTGACTTTCAGATTATTTATCAAAACTGTTTTTTTATTATTCTTTATTTAGTTATTCTACCATCCACTTCGGCCATTCCCAAGGATATATCTCAAGTTTTCTCACAACGAACTCCTATTTTTTTGGGAAAGGAATGTCTGTGTTTGTGATTGTGGTATCAAACAAGCACCTGAACAGCTTGTTGTGAGCTGCGTGTCAGGTCTGTGACACTATATGTTGCAAACAAAAAAACTTAGTGCCACAGAAATGTCAAAATAACCTGCAAATATGTGGCAGCTACGTGCATGGATGTGATGCAGTTACAGGCTGTGAGTGTATAACTTGATGACATAGGAATGCATATTTCTGTTTTGTGTCTTTTGGAGGTGAAAGCAAAAGAGTTATGGAGTGTATGTTCTCAACTGTTGCTGGCAAAGTGGAAGTGCACAGGAACCCATTAATCTTTGAATTAAATTTCCATAATTTTAGGGCACTGCCCTAAGATGGGAAAGGACAATAAAAACCTATATCCCTGTAGGGAAATGACAGGGCAGGAGGGGAGGAATGAAACCCAAACAAACCCAAAATAGAAAATATAGGGTAAACCTCCTTGACTTCTAGAAATTGTACTCCAAACTTCAGAGGAGATCTGAACTTCAGCTCCAAACTTCAGCAGAGGAGATCTTTCAGCAATCTTGTTAATTGTCATCAGAGGTCTGAAAATAACAAGGGAGAGGAAAATGAAAATCTGTCCTCAAGCAAGAACCGATACAGTAAGTCCACGGAGTTGAGTAAGTTTTTAAGATGTCAAGACTTGGTGCAAGGCACATCAAAGGGTAACAGTGTGACTTCAAAGAGGCTGCTAGTGAAGGCAGGATGAAAGGAACAAGAGAAATTCTTCTTCCTTGAAGACACAAAAACACTTGAGAAATTATATTTTTTACATAGAAATAATCTTCTTTCTGTATTTTGGGGAGTTGTTTGGTTTTTCTTCAGTAACAGCAGAAAGAGGTGTAGTAGAAGTCACCTCACAAAATGTTCTGCTACAGACATGTGCTCAGTATCATTATGCCATGGTACCACTGTGGTATTTTGACAAGAGAAAGTCCAAAAAATCAACCAAAAGAGACCCCTCATTTCCCTTTTCTCACCCTAGATTTTCTCATCCTATGAGTCATTGTCACTAAAGAGAGGATGGCTTTTAGCCTTTGTTTTCAGCAAGAGAATGCGAGAATGCTTTCCAGTTAGTTCACTTGTGAGTCCAAGAGCCCTGTATTTCTTAAAGCAAGATGTGTTTAAAAGATGTCCTACATGGATTTACACAACTTCTTGCAGTTGACATACTAAAACAAGTAACTTCTCAGAATTACTGGGAATTTCAAGCATTCTTRCAATAAATAAAAGTCGTTGACAAAAAGTAGTTTGATTCTCAAAGACACAGAGGTGGAAAAGAAGATTATGAAAGAGTCTTARAGTTTGATGGTTTATTGTTGGTTTTGCAGGTTTTATTTGGAAAACCCGGATTCAGCTGGATAGGCAAGTAATATAAGTCCAATAATGGGCAGAAGTGCTAATCATCACAGTGGGATACGCCACACTGGTTAAACATCAAAATGCAAAGGGAGAGATGAGAGGTCAAAATTCCTTCCAGTGATGCTTCTGCAAATTTTCCTCCCTCTGTGAGAGAACTGAGGCACAGAAGTGCTGGGCATTTCATATTTATTCACATCTTCATCCTCTGTGAAGTCARCTGTGCTTAGCAAAGTTCTGGATCCATGGGACTGCCTAATACATCAGATATGTCTCACCGGGGAGTTCAAGGCCTTGGGACCTTAGAAGAGGCTTAAGAGAAAGAAGAAAAATAATTTTTATGGTGCTAATATCACCGAAGATCTCTCTTCTGCCACTCAGATCTGTTGTGGTTCACTGCAAAGGAGAAGAAGCAGTCGGGAAAACTTAGAATTTACAAGACTAACTCATGATCTCTAGCAGAAAACCTACTTGTGGCTGCAAAGGACCAAGATAAATTTAGTAACTCCCAAGGAAATACTGTTAGATTTAGTGATCATTCTGAACAGACTTAAATCGATTTTGAATGGTCTCTCTCCAGGGTTAAGAACAAATAAGCTGAGAAAATGGAGTAAAAATGTCAAGTGAATGTTCCAAGGTAAAAAAAAGACAAACATAAAATCATTACACCTTGATGGAGGTCTTGTTTTTTAATGTCTACATATTTTCTATTTCTTTTCACTTAAACTGAATTGTGTACCATTTTCATAGACTTACAAGTTTAATCTGGTGAGTAGTCTTATCCGTAAAAAATAATGCTGGAGACAATCTCCCACAGGTTACATTTTTCAATGAAATGCTGAAACAGACTCCTCATTATGCCAGATAAAGCAACCTAAATGCAACCACCATCATATAAAAAAATGTCTAAAATTTTTAGTACTTTCAATAAATTGCTTTGTGAATTGTTTTGTAAAAATAATTTGTAAATTGTTTTGCGAATTTGTGAATTGTTGCCATCAAGCCCCAAGAAACCTCTCATAACCTTTTGTCCTCCTCTGTATTTCTGAGAATGAAGCTACTTTTTGTGAGCTACTTCTATGCATTGTTTTCAGAACAGAATAGTCACACACAGAAAAAAAAAAAAAAAAAAAAAAAAAAAAAAAATAGACGAAACTATGTATTTCTCTCATGAACTGATGACAACAGACATTAACACTTTTTGTTCTACCACAGGCATTTCAACTGCTAGTGGTCTAATTTACATGGAAAGTTGTATTTTAAAGTTACATCTACACTTCACTTCTCACTTGTGCTAAGCAGACAGACAGCGCACATAAGTGTTGGGTCATTTCATATTGGAGTGTTGTTACATTTTATATTTCACAATTGAACTTGTAGACAAGCAAGATGTTTCAGAAAGAAAAAAAAAAAAAAAAAAAAAAAAAAAGGAGAATGGGGATATCACATTGTTTTGCTTCTTCCATGGGAGGATGAATAGGAAAGAAAGGAATTCTAGAAGAATTTTTCAGGAACATGACATGGATATTATTTTATAGGCACCTGTTCTATATGCAAGGGCGAGTGTATATATGTTTGCATATATTAAAAAAAAATCCTCACTTTACTATCTAAAAGGTTATCCAACAGTGACCTTTAGGTACCATACCTCACCAAACAGAGATGCCCATCTCAAAGGAAAAAATCCATGGCAGAACACAAGACACATTCAACTAAGTGCAAAGCAGAAGATATAAAACAATCTGATTTCACAGATTACTTTATGCTGTTCTATCATCCTGTTGTTAGAAGGTATATTTTACACTTCAGTTAAGTTTCAGTCCATGAATCATAATTCACACATGGAGAGATCTGGCCTGAACTCTGCTTAAAAATCACTTCCAAATTTGGATTTTGCATCTTCATTAAAATCTCACAGAAATGAAAATGCAGAAAAGAGTGTTGTGAATATCAGTGTTCTTGTGTTCCAAAGAAATCACGTTGACGTTATTTCTACAGGGGA